CTCAACTAAATTCTCTTTTCCCCAAAAGGAGAGAAGTTACCACCCTTAATACCACATAAGTGATGTCAAACAAGGGATGTTTGTTCCCCTTTAAAGACTTTCCTGCTAAAGGGAAGTTAAGATTAAAACCTTACTTAATACTTTGATATGGACATAGAGCAACATGAGCACAGACATATGCATGGAATTAAGCAGCAAGCCGCAACTTTTATTAAATTTTAACACAGGAGAGGGGTGCTACTCACCCATCACCCATACTCGCCTATACCAGGCATTTAATTAGTTCCAGTGCAGGGGTTACAAAGCAGGACCACCAACAACTAAATCATCCCAGCCAAGGCTTTGTCAAGCCGGGTCTTAAAAACCTCTAAGGATGGAGATTCCTCCACCTTCCTAGGTAACCCATTCCAGTGCTTCACCACCTTCCTAGTGAAATAGTGTTTCCTAATATCCAACCTAGACCTCCCCCACTGCAACTTGAGACCATTGCTTCTTGTTCTGTCATCTGCCACCACTGAGAACAGCGAAGCTCCAGCCTCTTTGGAACCCCCCTTCAGGTAATTGAAGGCTGCTATCAAATCCCCCCTCACTCTTCTTTTCTGCAGACTAAATAACCCCAGTTCCCTCAGCCTCTCCTCATTCGTCATGTGGCTCCAGGCCTCTAATCATTTTCGTTGCCCTCTGCTGGACTCTCTCCAATTTGTTCACATCCCTTCTGTAGTGGGGGGACCAAAACTGGACGCAATACTCCAGGTGTGGCCTCACCAGTGCTGAATACAGGGAAATAATCACTTCCCTCGATCTGCTGGTAATGCTCCTACTAATACAGCCTAATACGTCATTTACCTTCTTGGCACACTACTGACTCATATCCAGCTTCTCGTCCACTCTAATCCCCAGGTCCTTTTCTGCAGAACTGCTGCTTAGCCAGTCGGTCCCCAGCCTGTAGAGGTGCATGGGATTCTTCCTTCCTAAGTGCAGAACTCTGCACTTGTCCTTGTTGAACCTCATCAGATTTCTTTTGGCTCAATCCTCCAATTTGTCTAGGTCACTCTTGACCCTATCCCTACCCTCCAGCATATCTACCTCTCCCCACAGCTTAGTGTCATCTGCGAACTTGCTGAGGGTGCAATTAATCCCATCATCCAGCTCATTAACAAAGACATGAACAAAACTGGCCCCAGGCCCGACCCTTGGGGTACTCCGCTTGATACCGGCTGCCAACTAGACATTGAGCTGTTGATCACTACCCGCTGAGCCCGACAATCTGGCCAGCTTTCTATCCACCTTATAGTCCATTCATCCAATCCATACTTCATTAACTTGCTGGCAAGAATACTGTGGGAGATCGTACCAAAAGCTTTGCTAAAGTCAAGATATATCACATCCACTGTTTTCCCTATATCCACAGGGCCAGTTATCGCATCATAGAAGGCAATCAGGTTTGTCAGGCATGAATTGCCCTTGATGAATCCATATTGACTGTTCCTGATCGCCTTCCTCTCCTCCAAGTGCTTCAAACCAAAACTCCTCCACCCCAGCCAGCCAATGGGTGCCAGAGCCTCCCAGAGGTAGGAGCTCTCTATTGTCCCTTGGCAAGTGTCTCCTTCCCCTACTGCTGGGACCTCCAGCCCCATCAAGTTTCCTCGCCCATTGATGTGGGTGGATGGTATTTACACTTCAAGTGCTTTAACTGGTTTTCCTGCTTTTTATGTATATTTAATAGAATGATTTTTTAATAGTGTGTTTGTCATGGTACTAAGCAGGCTGAGGTCTCTGTCTCCCAAACCCCCAACCTTATTTAAAACTGTTTTTTGTTGGACAGTGACTGGGTGATGTTAATATTTTTGAATCTTAGGGCACATTTATTCCATCTGAATTAATACAACAGACTGGTGCTCTTTAGTAGGGACCATGATAAGTGAAAATCAATGTAACACTAGCACAAGCCATAACCTAAGCTGGAGTTTCAAAAATATTAAAAGGTACATGAAATCCCCATAGTATCAAACCCTCCAATATAGCTACAGCTCCCACCATCACCTTGGCTTTCTGTCCTCTCTCCAAATGTTCCCCAACTGCTGCCTCCCTCCACTCACATGCACACTTGACAGAGGCTCTCTGTTCCTCAGGAATGTTGGAGAGCAGTGTGACTCAGAACAGAGCCACAAGAGCTGCTGAGCAGAGAGATTGCAGGTGGGCAGCTTGGAGCAGGCTGCCAGGGTTTCTGGCTTCAGCCCACTTTTTTGGCCACTTGTGTCTTTTTGGCTGGCAACTGACTGCTTTTCACATATGCTTCTGTAAATGAAAATGAAGCTTTAAAATGGCTTTCTGAGGCTTTGCTCTTCAGAAAGAGCGAAACGTAGATGGTGATGAGGATTTTGTGGCTCTGGAGGGATCGGGCAAGATCCTGCACTTGTGCCAGTAGTGTTGTGACACTTAGTATAGGAATGTACTATGGTTGAGCAACTAGAACCAAATCACAAATAGACTGCTGCTCTGCAGGATTTTTAGGGATAAAACACCAGCACAAAGTCAGCACAGGTTTTGTCACAAGTGCAATCCTTTTCTCTCACACCATATTGTTTGATTTCTGGAGCTGTATGGCTACATTTTACATACATGATGTGCATACACAGAGTTTATTGTGTAAAATGTATGTATCCTTTTTCCTGTGTCATGTTGTCTTAAGTGATTTAAATCAGTACATCTTTGTAGAAAATTATATTAGGTATCTAATAAATGAACAAAGCCTCCATTTGGAAGTAAAAATTAATCATCTTCTCCCAGTAAATGCCTTTAAAACCAAGTTTCCTCATGGAGCAAAATTTTTACAGTTGAGTTATAAACTATTGCAAAACCAAGGTTCATTATAATTAAAGTGCTGACCTACAGCTGCAATAATGAAATCTAAAAAGTGGCCTGTTTCCACACAAAGCAGCTCACCCCAGGCATTTTATAACATTTAATCACACTGGTTGGTTGCAACATCTGGAACAAGAGGTCTTTAGTTTCCATTCAACAGGAGTTTCTTCCCAGAGTGGATAGGAAATCACAAATCATTGTACAGATAGACTCAGTTAATCTATCATAGTACTTATATGGCCCCCTATCAATATAGTATCTGAGTTCCTCACAATCGTTAATATTTTTATCCTCATAATATCCCTATGAGGTGGGGAAGCACTATTATCCCAATTTTACAGGCTCAGAGAAACAAGTGTCTTGCCTAAGGTCATGTAGGAAGTCTATGATGCATCAGGAAATAGAACCTCCTTCTCCAAGATACCATCCTCCATTACCTCTTTCAAATTTTCCTAAAATCTCACTTCTACCATCTTGCCTATGAAACCTGAGGTAAAGAAAAGGAAAAAGTAAACCCCAATCCCATAATTAGTTGACAAAACCATCACAGCATTCATGTATATTGTTGATAGCCCAGCTGTTGCCCACATTCTCCATTCCATTTTTTGAGGTTTGTTTTTTTTGGCTGTTTATTAGCTTCACCTCTTATATGTTTGTAACAGTTTAAGGAATATGTCTGTGTTCAATTATGAATTCCTCTTTATTATACGGCAATTATGATTGTAACCTTCAGTGTGGATTAAAATGTCTGTTTTTAATATAAAGAGGCTATATTTGGGGAACTGAAACAGGGCCATCAAAGAATCATCAACACTGAATAACTCAACCCTGTTCAGCCATAGCCATTGACTTTTAATGATTTTCTGTCAGCAATCCCATATGGGGTTGAAGCCTTGAAAATTCCAGCAGAAGGAAAGTCACAGACTACTTTAAAAGTGACATGCTTGCTGAGCAAGAAGAGCCATTTAATCACCAGAACCAGAAGACTCACCAGGAGGAGTGGAGGCAGGAGGATGTGGCCTCCCTTAAGAACTTGGACCAAACGTAGAGACTCACAAAAAGGGGTGAGACCATACTAAGGGGGATTGTGTTCAGGAGTTTGTTGTTTTGCCTGGATCTGTAACTCTTGTGATATCTATGAGTAAAGAGTGTGTTTAAGATGTTCCTTTGTGAAACCTATGTTTCTTACTTTAACTGCCATGAGTCCTCAAAGAGTTAAACTGTAATCCAGAGTGCCCACAAAGGTGGACTATGGGAGAACATGCACTGGTCTCATGGTCAAGGGCAGGTGGACTGTGGGGGTCTCATATCCCAAGGAGGGGTGCCAGACTGGGAGTCTGTATCCTGGGAGCATGCCCTAGAGGCCAAGAACTTTTGGACACTGCTTGGATCCAGGTGATGTGAAAGCATGGTGGAGGGTCCAATGGTTGGGTCTAGTTATAACAGCCTGGTGACCCTCTGGAAGTGGAACTCAGCCAGGGCTGTAACAGGCATATTACATTTAGAGTGCCTCTTCTTTGGGATAGCAATACATCTTTACTTGTTTTTACATGTTTGGTTATGTCAACTAATAACTAACTGTAGCTGGAATTTTCAAAATCACTGAGGGTGAGCCTAATTCTGTTTCACTGAAAGTGAATGATAAAACTCCCAATAACATTAACCAGAGCACAGTTAGACAATGCTGAGCACTTTTGAGAGTCTCACGCAACAAAAACAATATTTATTATTTTAATACTTCAGTATTAAAAATGTTGACATGCTCTGTGTACCTTAACCAGGCCCTAAACCAACCAGTCCTCCAACATATATTTTTTTTCTTTATAAGTAACGTGAATTTCCATTTTTATTTTCAAGGCTAAATAAAGATGTTCACTCTATGAACATTCAGATATAGCACTTCCATGTTTTAGTACACTGAAATAAGAAAAGGAGTACTTGTGGCACCTTAGAGACTAACCAATTTATTTGAGCATAAGCTTTTGTGAGCTACAGCTCACTTCATGTGAGCTGTAGCTCACGAAAGCTTATGCTCAAATAAATTGGTTAGTCTCTAAGGTGCCACAAGTACTCCTTTTCTTTTTGCGAATACAGACTAACACGGCTGTTACTCTGCACACTGAAATAATACTCACTAAACGGTAGAGCCACTTTCCATGCACATTCCACCATTTCTGCATTTTATTAAACTGCATGGGGAATCTTCACATTGTCCTACACTGCGACCTGCATTGGGATGGCCTTCTGGAATACCTGGTGATTTAAATCGGTGATCCTTTCCAGTCCGAACTTCTATGTCAAAAATACACCCTGGAAAAAGAAAAGAAAAGAAAAGGGAAGGGAATAAGCCTCAAAATACAAACAGAAAGTCAAAACAAAAGAAGTAGGAGTATGGTTGTGTTTGCTATGCAGGAGGTTGGGTGGCCCCAGCTGTAGGGTATTCTGGATTGTGTTTCTCTCAGTCTCCCCTGTTGAAGCTGTTCCACTATGTATAACAATTAAAAGGTCAGTAAGCCAGACAGAGTGACTTTATAGCCCAATGACTGGTGCACTCACCTGAGATGTGGGAAAGTCATGTTCAAGTTCCAGCTCCAAATCAAGAGATTTTAAATGGGGTCTCATGTGTCCCAGGTGAGTGTACTGGCTACTGGATATTTTGAGACTTATTCTCGCCCTTGCCAGCTGTCTTTTGTGTGAGTTAGGTGTGCTCTGAGCATGGCTATCTGATTGGGCCTCATGGGTGAGCTATGAGGAGAATGCCTAATTTGAGAATCCCCCCCCCAGGGTTTAGGTATGAGGAAGGTCTCTGAGAAGCTTAATTATGGAGTGGTGTCAGGACTTGAGCAGCTTTGTGCATGTCCAACAGCAGAAATGTAGGCACATATAGGGTCAGGCAGCAGCAGAGCAGTGATCTTGAGAAAGTCAGTGGTACTTTAATAAGAACATAAGAATGCCCATACTGGGTCAGACCAAAGATCCAGTCTTCCAAAAGTGGCCAATGCCAGGTGCTTCAGAAGGCATGAACAGAACAGGCAATCATTGACTGATCCATCCCAAGTTATCCACTCCCAGCTTCTGGCAATCAGAAGCTAAGGACATTCAGAGCATGGGCTTGCATCCCTGATCAGCTTGGCTAATAGCCACTGATGGACCTATCCTCCAAGAGCTTATCTAGTTCTTTATAAATTTGACCTTCACAACATCCCCTGGCAGTGAATTCCAAAGGCTGACTGTGCATTGTAGGAAGAGGTACTTCCTTTTATTTGTTTTAAACCTGTTGCCTATTAATTTCATTGGGTGACCACTGGTTCTTGTGTTATGTGAGAGAGAAAATAACACATCCCTATTCACTTTCTCCACACCATTCACAACTTTATAGACCTCTATCATATCACTCCTTAATCATCTCTTTTCCAATATGAAAAATCCCAGCTTTTTAAATCTGTCCTCCTACAGAAGCTGTTCCATATCCCTAATAATTTTTGTTGCCTTTCTCTGTACCTTTCCCATTCTAATATATCTTTATTGAGATGGGGTGACCAGAACTGCATGCAGTATTCAAAGTGAGGGCCTACCGTGGATTTATATAGTGGCATGATGAGCTTTTCTGTCTTATTATCTACCCCTTTCCTAATGGTTCCTAACATTCTGTTAGCTTTTTTGACTGCCACTGCACAGTGAGCAACTGTTTTAGAGAACTATCCACAATGACTCCAAGCTCCCCTTCTTGAGTGGTAATAGCTAATTTAGATCCCATAATTTTGTATGTATAGTTGAGTTTGTGTTTTCTAATGTGCATTACTTTGCATTTATCAACACTGAATTATATCTGCCATTTTGTTGCCCAGTCACCCAGTTTTGGCAGATCCCTTCATAACTCTTCTGTCTGCTTTGAATTTAACTATCTTGAGTAATTTTGTATCATCTGCAAATTTTGCCACTTCACTGTTTACCCTTAGATCAGTTATGAATCTGTTGAACAGCACAGGTTTCAGTATAGATCCCAGGGGGACATCACTATTTACTTCTCTCCATTCTGAAAAATGACCATTTATTCCTACCCTTTGTTTTCTGTCTTTTAATCATTTACTGATCCATGAGAGGACCTTTCCGCTTGATGTTGGATGTAGGCACCTAAGGAGACAGTTAGGTGCCTAAGTACCTTTGTGGATCTAGCTCTAAGCATCTAAGGCATGGTATTTAGGCACCTAACTACCATTGATTTCAGTGGGACTTGGTCCCAGATCACAAATGTAGTTAGATGCCTAAGTCATTTTCAAAAATGGGAATTAGCCATTTAGGCCTTGTGGTGATGATCAGAGCAACTCGTACGTATGTTTAGAAATCTGGGCCTGGGGCACTTTTGAAAATTTTACCCCTGAGCTACTCTCAAACATTCACTGGTTTAAATTACAGGTCCAATTTTAAACTGCTCTGGTTAATCGGTGTAACTTTGTGCAGGGACATACCTTTTTCAACTGGTTTGTAGCAGTTAAATTTAAGAGATACTGAATACTCACAGCACTTATTGAAATGGGAAAGGCAGGTATTCAGCACTGCAGGGATTAGGCACTACCTTAATTTTGCATGATTTGTTGAAATCATAGAGGAAGAAGACTTGCAAGTGATAGAGATGATGTATGCCAAGGGGTTTACCCAATGCCAGTATTTGCGCACTTTCAACAGTTACAGAGAACATACTAAATATTCCCACTGTCTGTCTCAGTCTGGGTATTTATCATCAACATTCTATTTATCGTATGCACCCATTCAGGCCTCCTATCCTTGCTGGGACTAAAATTGAATGTAATTTCTCTATTCTTAAAATGTATGGATGTAATTCTGATCTGGTTGCATTTATGTACCCATTCATCACTAGGACATTTGACTTTCAAATCCTTTTTACTATTTGTGGTCTTGGATTTCTTCCTTGGGCCAGATTATTTAGCTACTAAGAATTGGTAGAGCACAGGGACCTTTTCATGCTCCAGTGACGTAGGCAATTGCTGGCATTTAGGAGGTTAAAGACCTATTTTGGATATTAGGAAACATTATTTCACTAGGAGAATGGTGAAGCACTGGAATGGGTTACCTAGGGAGGTGGTGGAATCTCCATCCTGAGAGGTTTTTAAGGCCCAGCTTGACAAAGCCTTGGCTGGGATGATTTAGTTGGTGTTGGTCCTGCTTTGAGAGGGGGATTGGACTAGATGACCTCCTGAGGTCTCTTCCAACCCTAATATTCTATGATTCTATGGAAGACAGGCTACTGTAAATTCTGCAGTTAGTTTTCTCCCATATACAGGTGCCAGATTCCCAGATATCTACAGAAGAGTGGCATAAGCATATTATAGCAGGATTTAATTACAAGAAGGATATTATTACAAGAAGGATGTGGAAAAATTGGAAAGAGTCCAGCAGAGAGCAACAAAAATGATTGGGGGCTGGAACACATGACTTATGAGGAGAGGCTGAGGGAACTGGGGATGTTTAGTCTACGAAAGAGAAGAATGAGGGGGGATTTGATAGCTGCTTTCAACTACCTGAAAGGGGGTTCCAAAGGGGATGGATCTAGACTGTACTCAGTGGTACCAGATGACAGAACAAGGAGTAATGGTTTCAAGTTGCAGTGGGGGAGGTTTAGGTTGGATATTAGGAAAAACTTTTTCATTAGGAGGGTGGTGAAGCACTGGAATGGGTTACTTAGGGAGGTGGTGGAATCTCCTTCCTTTAAGGTTTTTAAGGTCAGGCTTGACAAAGCCCTGGCTGGGATGATTTAGTTGGGGATTGGTCCTGCTTTGAGCAGGGGGTTGGACTAGATGACCTCCTGAGGTGCCTTCCAACCCTGATATTCTATGATTCTATGCTATGTTAAATACTAATGAATTACACATTGTGTAGAATTTTAACACCTAGTTCTTCACATTGTTGAGTAGTCAGGTGATGAGGGGGCCTATATAAATAAGTGTGCAGAATAGGGAGCATGTATCACCTTAGACATTCTTAAGACATTGTGCCACACTGCAAAAGCTGTGTGGATTGTGGTCATTTCTCAGGTCATAGGTGCTGGAAAGTACTGGGGGTGCTGTTGCACCCCTTAGCTTGATTCCATTATATGCAGGGTTTACAGTTTGGTTCAATGGCTGTCAGCACCCTCATTGTACAAATTGTTCCAGCACCCCATCTCATGTTCCAAATATTTAGTTAGTACAGACAGCAAACCTTTTGGTTCATAGAGTACAGGCTTTTTACTCACATATTTTCTCCCCTTGCATATATTTATCTTCACTGTTTTTCCCTACTCTCTTTTGTGTCCTCCTCTTTTCTATACCACTGTCTCTCTTCCATTCACACACCACGCCAGTCTGCTCTTTTCTCCAATTCCCACCCACATCCAGACTTCTTCCTGCTCTATTGGGCCCATGTCATGTCTCTTTCCCCTCCAACTCTAGGTCTTCTGTCCTTTCCCACATGCTATAGGCCCCTCCTCATTCTGCTGGCCACTCGTCTGAGGAAGAGGGAAACCAGTGGGCAGGAGCTGAGAGCAACACTAATCCATCTTCCCTGCACACTGCTGCAGCAGAGATAGAGGAACTGCAGCAAAATCAAGGGCCGGGCAGGATGGTCCGAAGGGCCGGATGTGGCCCGCAGGCTGTAGTTTGCCCACCTCTGGTTTATTGTCTTCTGCTAGACAATATGCTTTAAACCAGGGGTCTCAAACTCAAATGACCACGAGGGCCACATGAGGACTAGTGCATTGGCCCGAGGGCCGAATCACCGACACCCCCACCCCTCACTGCCCCTGGCCCTGCCCCCGCTCCACCCATTCCATGAGGCCCTGCCCCACCCCCTTTCCAACCCCTTCCCCAAAGTCCCAACCCCAACTCTGCCCCCTTCCTGCCCCCAGGGGGAGCAGGAGGGGTGCGGGGTGTGGCAGGGCTAAGGGCAAGGAGTTGAGATGCAGGAGGTGTGCAGGGTGCGGCAGGGGGCTCAGGACAGGGAGTTGGGGTGTGGGGTGCAGGAGGGGTGTGGGATGGGGCAGGGGGTTCAGGGCAGGGGGTTGAGGTGCAGGAGGGGTGTGGGATGGGGCAGGGGGCTCAGGGCAGGGGGTTGAGGTGTGGGGTGCAGGAGGGGTTCGGGGTGCGCGCTCCGGCCTGGCGCCGCTTACCTAGAGTGGCTCCATGGTGGCAGTGGCGCGGGCCGGGGCCAGGGCAGGCTCCCTGCCTGCCTGCCCTGGCCCTGGCTCTGGCCCCGGCTCTGGCCCCGGCCCAGCTCTGCTCCGGGAAGCAGCCGGAACCATGTCCCTCTGGCCC